GACACGACAGATGGAGCATAGGACGTGAACAGACCGACAGATGGAGGATAGGACGAGAACAGACCGACAGATGGAGCATGGGACGAGAACAGACCGACAGATGGAGCCTGGGACGAAAACAGACCGACAGATGGAGCCTGGGACGAGAACAGACTCGACAGATGGAGCCTGGGACGAGAACAGACTCGACAGATGGAGCCTGGGACGAGAACAGACTCGACAGATGGAGCCTTGGACAAGAACAGACCGACAGATGGAGCATAGAACGAGAACAGACCGACAGATGGAGCCTGGGACGAGAACAGACCGACAGATGGAGCATAGGACGAGAACAGACCGACAGATGGAGGATAGGACGAGAACAGACCGACAGATGGAGCCTGGGACGAGAACAGACCGACAGATGGAGCATAGGACGAGAACAGACCGACAGATGGAGCCTAGGACGAGAACAGACACTACAGGTGGAGCCTGGGACGAGAACAGACCGACAGATGGAGCCTAGGACGAGAACAGACACGACAGATGGAGCCTGGGACGAGAATAGGCCGACAGATGAAGCCTGGGACGAGAACAGACCGACAGATGGAGCATAGAACGAGAACAGACCGACAGATGGAGCATAGGACGAGAAGAGACCGACAGATGGAGCCTGGGACGAGAACAGACTGACAGATGGAGCATAGGACGAGAACAGACCAACAGATGGAGCCTGGGACGAGAACAGACCGACAGATGGAGCTTGGGACGAGAACAGACCGACAGATGGAGCATAGGACGAGAACAGACCGACAGATGGAGCCTGGGACGAGAACAGACCGACAGATGGAGCCTGGGACGAGAACAGACCGACAGATGGAGCCTGGGACGAGAACAGACCGACAGATGGAGGATAGGACGAGAACAGACCGACAGATGGAGCCTGGGACGAGAACAGACCGACAGACGGAGCCTGGGACGAGAACAGACCGACAGATGGAGCCTGGGACGAGAATAGACCAACAGATGGAGCCTGGGACGAGAACCGACCCGACAGACGGAGCCTGGGACGAGAACAGACCGACAGATGGAGCTTGGGACGAGAACAGACCGACAGATGGAGCCTGGGACGAGAACAGACCGACAGATGGAGCCTGGGACGAGAACAAACCGACATATGGAGCCTGGGACGAGAACAGACCGACAGATGGAGACTGGGACGAGAACAGACCGACAGATGGAGCATGGGACGAGAACAGACCGACAGATGGAGGATAGGACGAGAACAAACCGACAGATGGAGCCTGGGACGAGAATAGACCGACAGATGGAGCCTGGGACGAGAACAAACCGACAGATGGAACATAGGACGAGAACAGACCGACAGATGGAGCCTGGGACGAGAACAGATCGACAGATGGAGCATAGAACGAGAACAGACCGACAGATGGAGCATAGGACGAGAACAGACCGACAGATGGAACCTGGGACGAGAACAGACCGACAGATGGAGCATAGGACGAGAACAGACCGACAGATGGACCCTGGGACAAGAACAGACCGACAGATGGAGCATAGGACGAGAACAGACAGGTGGAGCCTGGGACGAGAACATACCGACAGGTGGAGACTGGGACGAGAACAGACCGACAGATGGAGCCTAGGGCGAGAACAGACCGACAGGTGGAGACTGGGACGAGAACAGACCGACAGATGGAGGATAGGACGAGAACAGACACGACAGATGGAGCCTGGGACGAGAACAAACCGACAGATGGAGCATAGGTCGAGAACAGACACGACAGATGGAGCATAGGACGTGAACAGACCGACAGATGGAGGATAGGACGAGAACAGACACGACAGATGGAGCCTGGGACGAGAACAACCGACAGATGGAGCATAGGACGAGAACAGACCGACAGATGGAGACTGGGACGAGAACAGACCGACAGATGAAGCATAGGACGAGAACAGACCGACAGATGGAGCCTGGGACGAGAACAGACGGACAGATGGAGCATAGGACGAGAACAGACCGACAGATAGAGCATAGGACGAGAACAGACAGGTGGAGCCTGGGACGAGAACAGACCGACAGATGGAGCATAGGACGAGAACAGACAGGTGGAGCCTGGGACGAGAACAGACCGACAGGTGGAGCATAGGACGAGAACAGACAGGTGGAGCCTGGGACGAGAACAGACTGACAGGTGGAGCCTGGGACGAGAACAGACTGACAGGTGGAGCATAGGACGAAAACAGACCGACAGATGGAGCCTGGGACGAGAACAGACTGACAGGTGGAGCATAGGACGAGAACAGACCGACAGATGGAGCCTAGGACGAGAACAGACGGACAGATGGAGCATGGGACGAGAACAGACCGACAGATGGAGCCTGGGACGAGAACAGACGGACAGTGGAACATAGGACGAGAACAGACCGACAGATGGAGCCTGGGACGAGAACAGACTGACAGGTGGAGCCTAGGACGAGAACAGACGGACAGATGAAGCAT